CTCACTGTCGTAGAAAGGAGAACGGCGCAATGAGGAAAGTACAGGGCAGGACTGACTTCGCCCATACGGTCAGCCTAGATGCGTCTTTAAAGAACTGATAGATGATGATAGAGAGAAATGAGGTAAATAGTACCTTATGTAGTACTTCACGGCGGTGGTGTTGTCGATATCCTTCGTTCTTCCATGTTTTACCGTATTCCTTCCGCATTGTACTGAGCCATTTGAGGAGCTGAATGAATATTTCTGGTAGGGGGAGAAACATTCAATTTCTTCTTCTTGGTCTTCATTAGCTTTACTCTGCTCCCTCCCTCCTTCCCTCCACCCAGTGTCAGGCGTTCGCTTACGGAAACGGCCACTTTTCCCGACTAAATTCGTGGTCGGAAGAAAATATTAAGTGTTTATGGTCCCTATGCAGCATGCCGAGCCAACTTGTCTGGGACAACCTTTGAGGCTTTCCGGGCACTTCGAATTGGAGGGCAGCCCTAGGGACCCTGTCAACCGTTGCGCAAAGTACATGGCCCTAAAATCGAAGGCGCGCTTCTCGCATCGTGTTGGCAATAGGAACTGCAAGCAAAGGGTGTAGGAACTGGGTGGTTGGTAACTGTGACAGTGCCCGCCCACGCCTCTGCCCGTACAACGAGCGTGGACTACATCTCGTGGTGATTCAGCTCGGTGCCACCGATAGTCTCTGAAAATCGTTTTACAAAAAAATCGTTACCGAGGCTTCTGTCAGTTTCCCTTTGGAATCGATATCGAGGAATTTGAATTGTCGTTGATGTGAGTACGGTTCAACGGTGAGCATCTCCAGGTTGAAGGTGAGCCAGTGCTCGTCATTGGGAATGTGCTTCCAGACTGAAAACTCTCGAGTATGTCTTGAGTGATAGCCTTTGAAAATTTGCCCTCACCTTTACTTTTGCCTTTTCGACTCAATCGATACGGTACTTGCAGCTTGCGCAGTTCTTCATTACACATACCCTTCAGTCCCTGAAAAAGACAGAGCCGTTGGAGAGGAAGGTGGTACCTGAGGGCAAAAACTGCTGTTTTCAAGGCTTCAAAAGGTATGAACATAATGATCGTGAGCTCATCGGATGAAGACAAGAAAATGAAGCAACGAATAATCTAAACAAGCGATACACTTTTGATACTTATCGAGACCCGCATCGCTCAATTTCCCACTCCAGTGAATTACACGGGCCTTGCCGTTAGTTTGGTAGATCTTCTTGCCATCTTCGGTGAACACCTGAAACGTCTATTTCGACAGGGCACGGATGAAACAGTCGAAGGGTCAGACCTTGTAGTGGAACGTTACGAAGTCCTTTCGTTTAGCAGCCGCTGGACACTTCGCTGGTACCCACGTCTAGCTCAATCTAAATCCGCTCTTTCATAGTATCGTTAAGGAATAGTTCCATGCTGCATCGTATGGCGGAGTCAAGCCACAGACGTCTGTGCCCTTATCTCGATGCATGCTCCCTCCCTCCTATTAGTGGAAGAAGTTTTCAATGTGAAAAGCACTACACATCCGGCGACTCCGCCAAACACAACCACTGTGAAGCGACCTCTTCAAGTTTATCAATTTAGAATCAATGACCTCTCAAAGAACGTTTCTATTTCTCCGAATTATAAAGCTTTCAACTGTACTCGAAAAAAATACCAGAATAATTTGGGAAAACGTGAGAAAACACCAGTAAAAGCATTGTGGAAACTGTACTGCACACGCACCTTTACATCGAAGACGCGCCTCCGTCTGCCTGATCTCTTCCAAGATGCCGAATTTGAGCAGCACTCATCGGCTTACCCTCTCCTCGAATTTCAATTACTGGTATAGAATCTTCCACTTTTCCACGTCCGCCTACATTTTCGCAATCGACTGAAACACGTAATCACTAATTCACTACAAACACTTGAAAATGAGAGGCACAACCACATTGGTCGTGTGGGCGGAGACCGTCAACAAATACACACTCCTCTTTCGTGCGCCCCTCTTCTTTACAATCTCAAACAGGACAGGCGACTCAGTGAGGAATGCATAGTTGAACCGTCTCCGGCCCACTTGTGGCTTATGCGTCCAACGCAAACCGTTCCTTTGACACACGTTAGACTCACAGGAATTGCTAGATTCCAGAAGAGCAAAAACCATAGCAATCGTACTAAATGAACAAAAAAAAAGTACAAGAAAAAGTAAGTGAACAGTGTAAACAAGCAAGTGTAAATCCAGATCTACACAGTATGACGTACCTCACTGGCGACGCATTCTGCAATAATTCGGTGGTTTAGGGTCTTTCAACAGAGTAATCAGAACATGCTGTTAATGGCTGATGATTTGTACTTAGCAACCTTTATCTTCCTGGACAGGTGCTACGTCTTAAGGTGAAAAATTGATAATTCACACAAAAATGTGGGCGGGGCTGTCGGGGGCGAGAACTGATGACTAATCGAAGAAATGTTCATGTAAAAGCGCTTCGAGAAAGCGGGAGCCTCAGAACAGAATCACTGAGCCTGAGGCTGCGTTCATACTTTACGGCAGCGTCCACCAGCGTCTACGAGGGTCCACTAGCATTCCGAACGGCCGGGAGTAGAGAGTATGGGGAAGTAGGAGGGTGACAGACATTGCGGCGTGTGCAACCGCACCGAGTAACTGCTAAAGCACAGAATTATGCAATTCAATGTACGGTGTAGTGTAGTTGTACGGTGCGGTTGCACACGCCGCAATTTCACGACGCCTAATCCAGCTGTTTGCTACCCTCCTACTTCCCCATACTCTCTACTCCTGGTCGCTGGTGAACGCTGGTAGACGCTGGTGGGTGCTGCCGCAAGGTATGAACGCAGCCTGACGCTCCCAGAGGACAATTGAAACAGCAGCTTTCCCAGCAAAAACTTACTTCACTGATCGCGAAAGTTCTGATTACTCAACGTCGTCCCAAGAAAAAGAATGACAATCATTGGCACTAATTTATCAATTACGGTGTCATTTGCATATCCGAAACTGAAAAAAACGGCACAAAACCAGATCCGATGATTTTTTTGCTGTCATTTATCGCTGTTCCGCAGAAATCGGGACAAGTTTGGCCCTTTGATGTCAAGCGCACAAGACGGAGGTATCAATCAACACGTCGGTGAACCAAAATGATTGTTCAAAGTTGTCAGACGGGAAAAGTAGGTTAATAACAATACAGCGAAACCGCGGAGGCAAACTAGTGACCGAGATCATCATTCCATAGAACTTTCTACGGCAAGAAAATGGCTCCTAAGAATTTGATAGTCTAACAAAGTCGTTTTCTCAGGAGTAAGTGGAGGATAAGAGATAAGAGCTTCTTAGACCGCTGTTCGGCTTCTGCACCTCCCCCCAAAGCCGAGCAGCCTCGTCGGATGCTCTTCTTGCTAACCAGCTTCTGTTCTGAATAGCATCTGAAGACAAAATCGTCTTTAAACGATTTGAAAGCGTTTTTCAGCACTTTTGGTCAACAACAAGAAGATACAGGTCTTCCTACGTAGTCCGTACAAGCTTCATGAGCACCATTTGTTGCCCCAGCAAGCCGAACTGTTCCACTTCCAACTCATTGTGGGACTTTCCTATTTGAGAGGTTCATATATGGCGGCAAGGAAGGCTTCCCAAATCAGGTAACAGCACCGTGATGTGCCAATGGTGTGGCCATGGGGGGGGTGCCCCCCCCTTGCCGAATAGGGTCTCGGTATCGAGCTTCGCGAAAGAAAACGACCAGCCTCCGCCAGCTTCTATAATTTTTCGCGAAAACTTCGCCAAACATTTTTCAGCGCGAAAAGAAAAATCGGGGAAAGTTTCTCTCAAAGGACTCACTTGTCAGATTCAAAGACCCTTTCTCTCATAAGGCCCCCGCAGCGGCCAGTGCGACACTCCATGTGTTCCACTCAATGATGCTGTACGCTGTTCCCAAGTGCATGGATAAATAAACAGGGAGTCAAGGGCATCTAGGACAAGGATCAAGTGAACAAAACAAAAAAAAACAAAAGCAAAACAAATCAAAGGTGCAACTAAACAAACGAACAAGAGGCAAAATAAATAATCACTCGAACAAATAATTGACACAACTAAATAAATAAGGCTCCATCAAATACGGCCTACGGATCTACGTGGAAGCTGACAGTATCGTGTACTTCAGATCCGCTGTCATTTACATGACTTGTTATTAGATAATTGAAATGTAGAGCCTTGGCGACTGGACAACCCGTTTCAGGATGGGCCATGGACCCTGTTTCCATTCACGAATGCATTTCGATGCATTTTCTGGCAGCACCGGGTACACCCGTTGTACTGTCAGAGCTCTCTATCCATCCAAAATGAGTTGAAAGTGAAAAGGCGTTAAAAGTGACATTTCTTGAAGAGGATCAATCGGAACTCTAGACTTTATTCAACATTCATTTTCGTACCTAAACACTATAAGGGCAGAAAAAATCCGTTGAACAGATTGAAAAATACAACGATACGGTGCTCTCACTCCAGTTTACCTGTCGCAGTCTTTTTATAAGTCCTACGAACTTGGGAAAAGACATACTAGTAATAACAAGCAGTTGGTTTAGTAATTTACCTCCTAATAATAACGCGGAGACGAACGCGAACACCACCCGCATGGAGAGACGTAAGTGAAGTGGTACTGACCCCGATCTGAACGGGCGGGCGATCAATAGCCGTCAGAAGAGAACTCCGTAGGCGACGAAGGACACTGAGC